AGGGGGGGAGGAAAGCCAGGAAAGGGTCAGTGAACTGCGACTCCCGCAAGCAGTGAGGCTCCTGGGGTCCACGTGGGGCACACCTCAGCATTTCAGGACACCCCAGGCGGGTGCGGAACTGACTGCAGCCTCCTGCGTGCCACCACCTTCTCCTTCAGTGCATCACCAACAGTGCCAGGGAAAGGAAGATCAACTCGTCCCTGCAGCTCCCAGACCGCGTGCTGAACTTCCTCAAGGACCACTTCCTGATGGACGGGCAGGTCCGCAGCCACCTGCTACTGCTGCAGCCACAGGCCCGCTACCAGCGTGTGGCCGTACACCGCGTCCCCGGCCTGCACCGCACCTACGATGTCCTCTTCCTGGGCACCAGTGAGTGTCTGCAATGGCAGGCTTGGGGAAGGGGTGTGCTTGGTGGGTCCTGGGCCACGGGCTCCCCCCAGGGCCTGAGTCCTGTCCACGTTCCAGGTGACGGCCGGCTACACAAGGCAGTGGCCGTGGGCTCGAGGGTGCACATCATCGAGGAACTCCAGATCTTCTCGCCAGGACAGCCTGTGCAGAACCTGCTCCTGGACACTCACAGGGTGAGCAAGGGAAGGGGAAGTCCAGGCAGCGTGCTTGGGGGGGGTGCCCCTTCATCATCACCAGGCAGTCCGCACCCCGCTGTTCCTCCCTGGCTCTAGCAAGATGGGAAGATACTGGAGCCGGGCACGGGCTATCAGAAAGTGGGGGTGCTGGGAACATGATGGAGGCCCCTTGGGGGTGGCAGTGGGTGGCACGAGAGCCAGATGTGGCCATGGGTGGTGGTCCTGGCTGCCCACGCTGCCTCTCACTCATCCCCGTGTCTGGCTGTGCAGGGGCTTCTGTATGCTGCCTCACATTCGGGCGTAGTCCAGGTGCCTGTGGCCAGCTGCAGCCTGTACCAGAGCTGTGGGGACTGCCTCCTCGCCCGGGACCCCTACTGCGCCTGGAGCGGCTCCAGCTGCAAGCACGTCAGCCTCTACCAGCCTGAGCTGGTCTCCAGGTGAGCGCCTTGCCAGGCCTTCTGCTGGGTCATTATTGGCCTCATTTACAGCCACCATCTCAGCAAAATTCTTAATTAGATCCTCTGCTTACTCTCAAAAGTGTTGTGGTTCAGACAATAAATTAGATGTTTGCCTTAGCTACCTGTAAAGTGGGGACATGCTTTGTTAAAGATGAAATGTCACAGCTTTGAAAAGCCTTGCTGGAGAATATGGATTGGCATGTGAACATGTTTTAGTTACAGCAGGACTACAAAAGGGTCCATTAACAAACCTGTTAAAAATTGCTTTCAGAATAACCTATTTGGATTATAAAATGTTCATTTAGAAAATAGGGATGAGCACAGACAAAACTACCCCTAATCCCACCACCTAGAGAGAATCACAGTGAGATTTTTTGATATATTATCCTCCTTGATTTTTCTACATATATGTAAAATAAACAAAAATCCATATATTTTAAATAAAGATGGGATCTGTCCCATTTGTCCTATTCTTGCTTCACCCATGGATACATCTGGTGTTAGTCTTGTATTTTAAAAAACCAAGTGTGAGTACACATATGTACCCCTGGAGGGACATACCGAGGTTAACTGTCATGATTGCCAGCTGGTGGGCTGTGGGTGACTTTTGTAGTGTTTTTATCCTTTGTACTTGGTTTTCTGTTTCCTGAAGGCATTGAGTTACTCTTCTTTATTATTTTTTTATTAAACAAATCTATGTATATGCATTGATAAAAAAAAAAGGAAAAGACATATATACATATACTGATCCAGCTGTCCTTCCAGACTTTTTCTGAGGGTACATACATACACTGTTTTTGTAATTAAGGGAATTATTATAGTTTTTTTTTTTTTTTTTAAGACAGGGTCTCACTCTGTTGCCCAGGCTGGAGTGCAGTGTTGTCATAGCTCACCGCAACCTCAAACTCCTGGGCTCAGGCGATCCTCCTGCCTCAGCCTCCCAAGTAGCTGGGACTACAGGCCTAATTTTTCCTTTTTTTAATGGAGACAGGGTTTCACTATGTTGCTCAGGCTGGTCTTGACCTTTGGCCACAAGTGATCCTCCTGCCTCAGCCTCCGAAAGTACTAGGATTACAGGACTGAGCCACTGTACCTGGCCTGTAGTAACTGTGATTTGAAATAATGTATAGACAGGGGGGATGCTGACTCAAACCCTGTGGGGGTGGGGAATTAGTGTGGGAAAATCTCTTACGCCCTGCTTTGGGCCTGGTGGTCCCTTCACACCAGGTCCCTTGCTGAGGCCCAAGTCTACACTGAGGTTGAGGGAATATGGGCCCACAGGGCTCCCTGGCCTATCCTGAACTCTCTCTGGTCCTCAGGCCATGGATCCAGGACATCGAGGGAGCCAATGCCAAGGACCTCTGTAACACCTCCTCGGCCAGGCCCCGGTCTTTTGTACCAACAGGTGAGGTGCCCATCAGAGAGTAGAGGGAGAGGTGGGGGCCAAGTCTGCTTGGAAGGCTCCTCCAGGCTCTGATGGGTATAAATGCCTTTCCTCACATCCACATCCCCCAGCCCCACAAGCAGGGGCCTGGGAAGGGAGCCTCAGTCCCAGAACCCCTCAGAGTTGCCCTCATGGCCTAGGAGCACAGCCCAGGGGAGGTGGGTGGACGCCAGCCCCCTCTACCCCGTGCCTCTCCTCCCCGCAGGCCAGAAGCCTTGTGAGCAAGTCCGTTTCCAGCCCAACACGGTGAACACCTTGGCCTGCCCACTCCTCTCCAACCTGGCGACCCGGCTCTGGCTGCACAAAGGAGCCCCCGTCAATGCCTCTGCCTCCCGCCGCGTGTTGCCCACCGGGGACCTGCTGCTGGTGGGCAGCCAGCAGGAACTGGGGGAGTTCCAGTGCTGGTCACTAGAGGAGGGCTTCCAGCAGCTGGTGGCCCGGTACTGCCCAGAGGTGGTGGAGGAAGGGGTGGCGGACCGAACAGACCAGGGCGGCAGCGTGCCTGTCATTATCAACACTTCGCGTGTGAGTGCGCCAGCCGGTGGCAAAGCCAGCTGGAGCGTGGACAAGTCCTACTGGAATGAGTTCCTGGTGATGTGCACACTGTTTGGGCTCGCCATGGTGCTTCTCGTTTTATTCTTACTCTACCGGCACCGGGACGACATGAAAGTCTTCCTGAAGCAGGGGGAGTGTGCCAGTGTGCACCCCAAGACACGCCCTGTGGTGCTGCCGCCTGAGACCCGCCCACTCAATGGCATAGGCCCCCCTAGCACCCCACTCGACCACCGAGGCTACCAGGCCCTGTCAGATAGCCCCCCAGGGCCCCGGGTCTTCACTGAGTCAGAGAAGAGGCCACTCAGCATCCAGGACAGCTTCGTGGAGGTGTCCCCAGTGTGCCCCCGGCCCCGCGTCCGCCTGGGCTCTGAGATCCGTGACTCTGTGGTGTGAGTGCTGACTTCCAGAGGAGGCTGCCCTGGCGTCCGGGGCGCGAGTGCTCAGAAGGGTCAGCTGCACCCCCGCTCTGCTCTTTGTGGAACACAGCCACGGTGCCAGCGGGCCTGCTGCTCCTCAGCCAAGTTGCGCGTCCCCTCCAGCCCAGACTGCTGTGGCCCAAAGGTCCTGGCTGAAGACGGGGCCTGCCTACGTGGGAGGAACAGTGGTCCTTATGTAAACTGAGCCCTTTGTTTAAAAACAATTCAAAATGTGAAACTTGAGTGAGACGGAAGACAGACAACACGGCATGCCACGCACACGGCCACTCCAGTCCTTGGCCTCCCAGCCTTGAGGCCGCCCAGCCTCGTGGCCTCCCGGGGGCACTGGGGACTCGTCCAAGGTGGTAGTTCAGACAGAGTTGGAAGCCCGCACAACTGGCCTCTCCCACCTTCCACCTTATCCGGCTGTCACAGGCTGCCCTTTCCAACTGCAGAGCTGGGGCCAGCTCTGGCTCTGTGGGTCTGGCCTCACCAGCTGGCTGAGGAGGTAGTCATTGCGGCCATCATCCCGCCACCTCAGGGACCAGAGGGCTAGTCTGGCACTGCAGCCCGCACCAGGCCCTGGGCTAGGACCAAACTCCTGGACCTTTCCAGCCTGTATCAGGCTGTGGCCACATGAGCTAGAAGACAGCGTGAGCCCAGGAGAGGATTGACAATGTACACCTTTCCCTTGGAATTCAAGGGAGACTGCCTGCCTTCCTCCACCCCAGCCTGAGAACCTGTGTCCCTTCCTGCCACGGCCACCGCAGCCCAATCTTTGAACTCAGACACAGGGAACTCACTGCACCCCTCTCCCCAGGTGACCCCTCACCTGCCTCCACTGTAAGGGATATCGACACTGCCCAGCACAGGGGGCCTGAATTTATGTGGGTTTTATATATTTTTTAATAAGATGCACTTTACTTTTTTTTTTAAATAAAATCTGAAGAATTATTGTTTAACCATGGCCCTTCCTCTTACAGGACTGTTGCTCTTTGAGCTTGGTCTACTTCTCTGAGTTCTGGGGGGTTCTGAGCCCCCTCTTTGCAGGGGCTGGTGAGTTAGAATTAGTTTTGTTTGGCTGACGGATCTCTCGGGGGAATGTGGTTCTCAGGGAGTCTAACCCCCCGACAGGCAGGGGCAGGGGACTCGTTTGTTCACCTCAACCCCCTCACTCTGCATCCTCCGTTCAGCAGGGGTAAGGACGTGGGATGGGATGGGGGCCTTTTTTTAAAAAAAAAAAATACTTTTTACAACTTTTAGTTTTTCATCAAATGATCACACAGTAAAATTTTTTCTTTTGGTGTACAGTTCTTTAAATTTTAACACATGTAGAAATTTGTGTATCCCCACAGTCGGGATGCAGGAACATTCCACACCTCGTGCTGCCCCATTCTGCTCCTACCTGCACACAGGGGCAGCTGGGCAGGGGCACGGTTGGCTGCCCACTGGCCCCTTCTTTAGATGCCACTTAATCCTACTAGGATCTGAGGCTCCCAGAAGTCCAATCCTTCCTCATACCAGCATTTCTAGTGTCACACACAGGGTCAAAACTTCTAAATCTTTATTATTGATTAGTAGAAACAAACAGCGATGCCCATGGCTGACAGAAGGGGAGAGGCCCTGACAAGGAGGGCCTGCCCCTGCCTGGGGCGAGTCTGCGCAGTGCCAGCTCCAGGCTGGGCCAGCCTGACCGGCCCTGGCAACACAGGCATGACCTCGGCCACAGCTTAGCAGCGGAAAGGTTCTTGGAGAGGAGGCTGGAACACACACTGGGGCTGCTGTCACAGGACAATCTTAAAGGAGCTGAACAAGAGAAGAGTGGGTTGGGTTTTCTACTGGAAGAGGAGGGTGGGGACTAAACCCAAATTTATGTCCCTCTCCCCTTCGACCCTTCTTTGGAATGGGCTGTGTCCCATATGTGACAGTCCCCTCTGGAAGAAAAGCTACCTGAGACATGCAGAGGAAGCCGGGGTTTTTTCCCACCCTGGTATTGCTTCCTGTAATAATGTCCCAGATACAGCCCCTGGGACCACCGTCATACCTGGCAAAGTCCGGTGAACGGGAGATGACGTGCTGGAACTCAGAGAGATTAATGGTCCCGTCCCTATCAATGTCAGACTCTTCCAGGATCTGGGGAAGGGAGAGCTTCAGCCAGAGCCCCAACCTTCCCTCCCGCTCCCTGGCCCGGCTGCTCACGTTGTCCACGAGCTGCTTCATCTCCGACACGCTGAGCCGAGTGTCCTCGCCCTCCCCGGTGAGGCAGTTCACCAGCCGGCTCAGGTCTTCTCTGTTCAAGGTGCCATCATCATCAAAGTCTAGAGGGCAGACACAGGAAGCCAAAAAGAAATGTGCCCAGAAATGGCTCTGAGGTTCCACAAACGGTGCCATTTCCCAAGCAGAGCCACCATAAAGCCCCTGTGGGAGGGGGTGGCGTTTCACCAGACGACTCCTGGTCCTTACCGAAGATGCGGAAGGCATAGTGGGACTTGATGTCAGGGGTTGCTGTGTCACTGAACACACTGAGGAGGTCCAGGAAGTCCTCGAAGCTCAGGCTGTCTCTAGTTGGGGACGTGGAGAAGACCCTGCAGATTCGCTCCTTAAAGGGGTTGGCCTAGGTGAGAGAGCCTTCTGTGAACACCACAGGATGTGGCCCACACACTTGAGGAAGCAGGTCACAGTGCCAGCGCCATGGAGCTCAGGCTTATGGGGGAGAACGATCAGTGCTTTGGTGCCAACATGGAGGGCTGTGCGGGCACAGGAAGGCAAACTGACTCAGCTGGGAGGGGACAAGGATGGCCTCCTGGGAGTCAGATTATATACAACATAAGTGGGCGCAGAGAGGGAAGGGGAAGGCATCCTAAGCAAAGGGAACAAGATGGGCTGGTATTTTAAAACACAAACATTTAACAACTATGTGGTCTAGGCACTGGGCCAGGCCCTTTGCACAGAAATTTTCACAGCAGCCCTATGGAGTAGCAAGCAGCCTCTGGAATAGGGTTTCTCAAACTTTAATAAGGTAACTCAACTTCTCTTAAATGATTAAACTTCTTTCAATTTCCAAGAATATGTCCTATAAGTCCCAGTTTGAGAAGCACTGTTCTAGATAATTCTGCTAGGTGATTTTGGTAAAGCCCTGGCCCCCAGGAAATTAGAGCTAGACAGAAAAAAAGACCAGAATGAGGACCAGTGATCCCAAGATCTCAAAGCCAGTAGCAGGAAGTCAGTAGCAGGGGGAAGGTGTATGGAGGGGGTGGAGGGCTTGCACCTTGAGCTCTGGAAGGCTGAGGATCTGCTCGAAGGGCACTTGAGCCCGCAGTGACTCCTCCACACTCCGATGCTCCTGGGGAAGCAGCTCACAAAACCGCTTGTGGGCTCTGGCAGAAAGAGGGGGACTTGGCGCTCTCACGCAATCAGTGTCCCTGTGCGTATCACATCCCCACTCCTTGCCTTGCTGCCCATTGTAAACCAGGTATGGAGCTAAGCCACATACACAGAACTCTGGAGTCATCAGACTACAGTAAGCCAAAGGGAGACCTGTCCCAGCCAGTACAGGCTGGGAGTCCACTCTTGCAATGGGTATTTACTGAGGGCCTGGTATGTGCTGGGTACTGACTCTAGGGATCCCGGAGGGATGAAAAGGTTGGGGAAGGAGCCAGAAGCTGGCCCTGAGAAACAGGGAGAAAAGAGCAAAACCAAAAATCTCATTCTCATTTTCACTCCAAGGATCTCATGCTCCTCAAAGCCAACCTCTCTTTAGCAGCCTCCCTGAACTGTCCTCCTCCTCAGCCCCCACCTCCTTCCCACTGAGACTATCTTCGCCAAGGGAAGCCCAGGACTCTCCTAAGTGCCCCAGCCTGCATAAAGCTGGCCAGCGGGGTTCCAGCCCAAGTCAAATTCACTTACTTAGGCACGTTACCAAACCTCTCTGAAACTGTTTCATTGTCTTACACCTCCCTCCAGGGCATTAAATTAGGGAACTGAGGTAACCCCTTAGCAGAGTCTCTGGCGCACAGTAAGTGCTCAGTGAGCGTTAACGGTTACTGTATTATTCAGGCAAAGTTGGGAAAGGAGCCAGATTCCCTAAGGCTCCCATGGTTTTGCCCCTGGGCAAAGTCCAACAAGAGCCACAGCAGCCCCTGCCGGACTGGGGCAGGAAGTTCCGTGGTGCCCAGGCACGGGAAGCGCGGGGTCAAAGAGCGCCCAACTTTTCCTGAAGCCCGCGAAGTGGCTCCGCGGTGCAAAGCTGGGCCCCGGAGCGGGCGTGGAGGGCGCAGCCCGGTGCTCGGCCTCCGGGCCTCCGGTTCTGGTTCCGCCGCACCCTCGGGCGGGCCCTGCCCCTCCCTCGGGGGCGGGGGTGGGCTCAGGCTGCCCATCCGTAGGACAGCGCCCCCCGAAGCCATCTCTAGCGGATCCCGAGGTCGGAGGTGGGGTTCAAGGCAGCACTTACAGGAGGATCTCCTGCTTGGTCAGGAACGTCAAGTCCTGGAAAGCAAAGCCAGAAAGGGGTCGAGGGGCCCGCGTGAAGGCGGCGGCCGCCCACCGCCGCTCCGGGACCCCGCTTCCGGGCGCAGGCCCGCACGCGAGCTGCCTGGGGACCGGCGTCCCGCGCACCTGGTACTCGGCCAGCAGCTCCTTGGACAGGCGACTGCCCGAGCCCCCCATCGCCGCGCCGCGCGCACAGCTCCGCCGACTCGCCTCTGGACGCCCGCAACTTTCTCACTTCCGCCCTCGGGCCTCGTCTCCGCCCAGTCCCCGCGACAACCGCTCCTGGGGCCACCGCCCCCGGGCCCTCCCCGTCCTTAAAGCGCCGAAGCGCTCCCAGCGGGTTTAGCTGGCGAGCTCCCGGCTCCCAGAGGTTCCAGGGAGCCAGAGGCGGGGCCCGGGGCGGGGCCGGACGCTCCGGGGTGGAGCCCAGGCCTCACGGCCCCACCTCGGAGTGGGCGGGGCGGGCCACGCCGCGTGCGTGCGTGCAGGCTGCGCATGCGCTCAAGGCGTCGTGAGCTCGCTGTAGCCCCGGTAGCCGCTGCGGGGAAATTGCGCGATGCATCCGCTTCACCTGCAGTAGGTGGTGGTGCCGACAGCCCTGGGCGGGGTCCCGTAAGGAGCTTCTGGGAAGTCCCTGGAGCCAAGGTTTCTGGGAAACCTCGAGACTGGCTGAGCGGCTGGGGGCGGTCGGCCGGCTGTCCCTCTGCCTAGCGAGGGCTTTGCGAGCGGCATTCGCCGCACATTTTGCAGCCCTCATGCCACCTCTTCCAGAAGTAACTGTAACCTTGCTGCCTCCTTAAGCTGTTTACTGAGGACCCACTGGATGTCAAGCACTGCGCATAGTTATCTTCGATTCTTGCAACCATCCCGGCAAGGTAGGTTCCTATTTTACAAAGGTGGAAATACATAAGTCCAGAGGTTTAATGACGTGTCCGGGCTCAGGCATTTAGAAAGCGGTCTGTCCAGTCCAAAGCACTTTTCAAGGCTCCCCACTGCTGTTCTCATCATTCCAGCTGACCTTTTACTCCACCCCATCTCCAGACTGCCTGCTCCGGGCTGTAGGGACCAAGGCTGACCTGTTTGCTCTCGTCCCCTTTTAACCTGTAGGACGATGCTTGGCACATAGTAGGCTCTCAATAAATACTTATCTGATGCATGATGAATAAATGAACCTATACTACTACAAAAGGTGAGTTTTCCAAGCTATTGGGAGGAGGATGAAGTGGGGGTGGGATTAATTATTGATCCTTCCAGTTCATTCTACTTGCTGATCTTTGTAAAGTCTAAATCTGAGTATGTCACTCTCAGTTTAAAACCATTAAATCCTTAAAAACCCAAATCCTGGCCCTCTAACTGCACTTCCTCCTCTCTCTCTGCCCTCTCCTGTTGGTTCTCTGTGTTTGGGCCACTATGGGCTCTCCGTTCCTCTTCCATCTTATCCTCAGGGAAGGCTTTCCTGACTCCCTAGACTAGATTAGGGATCTACTTTACACTCTAAGAGTACCCAGTGCTTCTTGACAGCATGTATCTAGTAAAAGTCACTGTGTTAACTAACATATGGGTTCCGCCACTGTAGAAATAGTCCGCTCCATGAAGTGGAGGCTGCAGAGCTATGCAACACAAAAACAGTCAAGGTGACTGGGGTGTAGGCCCATCCCATCCTAATCATTTTTCTCTTGAAAGTAGGCTCTTTCTGTCAAAGAAGAAGTTGGTCTTCTGCTAGCAAAAGTGTAGGCAAAGAGCAAACTGTCACTGTGTCTGCAGTACTAGACTGAGGAGAGGAAGTGCTGGCTAGCCAAAGTGAATACCTGGACTGCATGGTAATCAGTATCTCTTCATAGTGAAGATAGGGGAATTAGCTTTTTGCCTTGGTGACCAGCTGTAATCTAGATCTCCCATCCACCTCACTTGGCTCTGAACCCTTCTTCACTGAACAACTTGATGATTTTCATTTTGCTTCCTGGGAGATTTGTATAGAGGAGAGACTATACTGACCAGCCAACAAGAACATTTTATGACATTTGTCACGCTTCTCATTGTAAATTATTAAATAGGTGGTCTGAATCATCTAGTAGTCCCTGGTGAATCTGGTAGCATCTTGTCCTTCCTGCACTTGATCAACTCTTGATACAGTGATAAAACTGAGTTGCTGATATACTTTTAAAAATATCTTCTAGTGCTGCTTGTAAAATTATTTTGTTTTCTTCTTTGATAGATTCTTGAAAGGTTTTTTATTGGTAACATTTTTGTCAAAGTACCAGCTCTTGGATTTGTGGATTCATTTTATTTTTTGTTTATTTTGTATTTTTGAGACAGAGTCTCGCTCTGTCACCCCTGGCTAGAGTGCAGTGGCATCAACATAGCTCACTGCAACCTCCAACTTCTGGGCTCAAGTGATCCTCCTGCCTCAGCCTCCTGAGTAGCTGGAACTACAGGCTCATGCCACCATGCTTGGCTAATTTTTTTTCTATTTTTAGTAGTGATGGGCTCTTGTTCTTGCTCGGGCTGGTCTCAAACTCATGACCTCAAGCAATCCTCATGCCTTGGCCTCCCAGAGTACTAGGATTACAGGTGTGAGCCACCACGCTGGCCTGTCTTTACTCATATTTTTAGCATTTTGGTGTCATCTTGGTCGTGAATCCTTGGTCCTGGCCCCTGGCTTTAAATGTTACTGTTGACTTCCACATTGTATCTAACCTAGACCTTACCCTGGACCTCAGGCCTGACTCTCCAGCTGCCTGTGCCACTTCTCCTCTCGGATGCTCGGCTGCACCTCAAAGTCATAATCAAAACTGAACTCTGGATTTCCCGCTTCTAGTCAACCTATTCCCAGCCCTCCTCCCCACCTTCCCCATCTCTGTAAACACCACCACAATCTACCCAGTTCCTGAAGCCAGACATTCCCAGTTCTTCTCTTTCCTTTAATCCCCATAGCGAACATGTCAGTAGGCCCTATTGGTTTGGCCTCCAAAACATGACCTAAATCCCCTGCTCCTCTCTACCTCTGTTGCCATCCCTGCCACCCAGTCATCCTCATGTCTCTCACTTGGCCACCAGAATGGCTGCCTACATGGTCTCTCTGCTTCCTCTTTGCTTCCCACAACCCATTTTCCACACAGCAGTTATGAAAAGGTTTATAAAATAGTATGTGATTCTTCTGCTTAGGACCTGCCAGTGATGTCTTATTCCATTTGGAATAAAATCCAAGCTCGTGACCATGATGCCTGAGGCCCTACAGCTCACCTGGCCCCTGTCTTCCTCTCCAGCCTGGTCTTGGACCCTCTCTCCTTTGTCTCCTGTGCTCGAGCAACACCGATCTCCTTTCCTTGAACAGGCAAAGCACCTGTCTCACTCAGGGCCTTGGTCTTGCAGTTCTCTCTGCCTGGAATACACTTTCCTCAGCTCTGCATTGCTGGCTTCTTCTCGTTCTTCATGTCATAGCTCAGCTATCATCTCAGAGAGCCCTGCCCAATCCTTTTATTGAAGTAGGATATGTGGATCCTACCTATTAGTGACCCCATGTTGTATCACTTGTTTATTTCCCACAAAATGCTATCACCCTCGGCACTTAACCTGTTTATTCTTGTTTATGATCTGACTCTACCACAAAAATGTAACTTCCATAAGGATATGGACCTTGTTTGCTTTTACTGCCATTATGTCCTCATTGCCTCATGCACAGTAGTTACTTCAGAAATCCTCGGGTTTTGTAGCTCAGCTCAATATGGGGCAAGGTATATAGAAGAGGTGTCCCCAGAACATCAGGATGGGCATGAGGTGGGCATTGACCCTGAATGAATGAATGAATGAATGAGAGAGTAAGTGAATACTGTCTTAGGTAAAGCTCAGGTAAATAGCAGATTATTGAATTTCTAAAGTCCTTTTTGAGATTCACTTTAAAAAATTTTTTAAGGCCGGGCACAGCGCCTCACGCCTGTAATCCTAGCACTTTGGGAGGCCGAGGCAGGAGGATTGCTTGAGGCCGGGAGTTCAAGACCAGCCGGAGCAAGATCAAGACCCCGTCTCTACTAAAAATACAAAAATTAGCCAGGCATGAAGAACGAAATACAGCCCGAGCCTGTATTCCCAACTACCTGGGAGGCTGAGGCAAGAGGATCGCTTAGAGCCCAGGAGTTGGAGGTTGCATGAGTTACGGTGATGCCACTGCACTTTACCCAAGGTGACAGAGTAAGACTGTGTCTCAACAAAAACAAACAAGGCAACTGAACACCCCTCCTCACAACCCCTCACCCCTTCATATAAAAGAAAAAAAAATTTAAAAAAGGTCTAAAGGAAAATAAAAACATGTGGTGTGCCACACTGAGTATATAGGATGTTTATTGCCACACTGTGTATCATAGAATGAAACTAGCTACAGCCTGAATGAACAACAGTTAAAAATTGGCTAAAAAATCAAGACCCATCTGTATAAGAAAATGAGGTTAAATGTAAATCATGATTTTTCCCTGGGCATTGGAACAAGGGTTGTAATTTATCTTTTTTTTTCTCCAATAAAAAAGTTTACTTGGCCAGACACAGTGGCTCACACCTGTAATTCTAGCACTCTGGGAGGCTGAGGTGGAAGGATTGCTTGACATCAGGAGTTTGAGACCAGCCTGAGCAAGAGCAAGACCCCGTCTCTACCAAAAATACAAAAAATTAGATGATTAGCTGGGTGTGGTGGGGTGCACCTATAGTCCCAGCTACTTAGGAGGCTGAGGCAGGAGGATCACTTGAGCCCAGGACTCTGAGGTTGCTATGAGCTAGGCTGATGCCATGGCACTCTGACCTAGGCAACAGAGAGAAACTGTCTCAAAAAAAAAAAAAAAGTTTACTCAACTAGTATTTATAACTTTTACAAGAAAAAAATAGCTGATATATATTTTTAATTCAGCAAAAACATATAGAATTCTGTGTTTCACAAATATTTTACCAAACGCATATATACAAAAAGTAAAGGGTTATTTGAAAATAAAACTCTTTGGAAGCAGGTTACTATCATGTATTTTTTATCTCTTATAATTGTTTAAGGTCAGCTGCATGGCTCTTCCACATGATTCGAATGAAACTTCCTATTTGCTACCTCCAAACAGCAAGGACTGGGAAGGGCAAGGCATTCCTGACTTTGTCTATGGGCGGAAGGATCTCGTGGTGGAAGGGATTCAGTGGCCGAGGAAAGCACCCGGCATCCTGGACACTCTGCCACTGTCTCGCTTTGACTCTGCACTCTGCTCTGCCTGGAGGCAGCGCGTAGAGCTGGGGCTGTTTCGCTACTGCCTAGGGGACCTGCAGACCCGCACCCTTCCTGGTGCCGTGGGTTTTGTGGCTCAGCTGAATGTGG